ATTTTTATATATATTTTTATTTAATATAAAATGAAAATAATTTTTCTAATCTTTTACTTGAACTTTATACTTCTTTAATTGGATATTTTCTCAAGGTAATTGAATAATCAATATTTTCTAAGTGCAGGTTAGATGTTAATTTTACTACAACCTTATTATTTAGATCCATTTAGTATACCTTGATTTCATTCATGATAAAGTCCTAGTAATAAAACAATAATGAAAATAGTAGAGGAAATAGTTCAGTAAGGAAGGTTTGAAGTTTTTATATATAACAATAATGATAGGTAAAACATTTCTCCATGAAAAATTAAAAAAAATAATTGTAATTAAAAAAAAAAGTAGAGAAAAAGGGCTTCGAGAGGAACATTTAGGATCGAAGCCACTTTATTAATTACATTATTAGGAAGAAGTGCAGATTGTTGTCTTTGAAATGTCACGAATCATCATTGGAACATTTAAAGCCGAATGTTGCAAAGTATTTTGAGATTTTAAAACGGTTTGTTGTTGAAATTCAAATTGCTTTGAATTATCTTGAGTAGGAACCCATTCACAGGAAACCACTGTAGCAACCAAAGAATCGTTAAAATCTTCCATTCATAATAAAATGGAAACAAATTCAAAACCAAAGATATTGAATGTATTCATTAAATTATAATATAACACTAAAAATTTCTGATGTTTTTTTTGGATCTAATGAAAACAAGCGATTTTTACGAATCATTGTTGGAACATTTAAAGCCGAATGCCCGACGTCGGTCAGTTTACATTCAAATTGCTTTGAATTTTTTTGACTCCCACTCCCTTCACCGTTTTCAACTTTTATATTCGAGTTTTTGTCATCTGCGGACAACTTGCTGCTACAACGGGGTAACCTCCTTCTTCTTTTCTGCTTGTTAAAGATGTCTTAACAGATTTTTTCTCAGATGGCATGCTTTGCTTTTTAGCAAATAATAAATAAATATATAATAAATAAATATATATTAAAAATATATTAAATAATAATATATTTTACAAACCGCTAACTTGCATGAATTATAATCAAAATCACACTAGCCACTATAATTCTAAAAACTATTTAAATGGCAATGCTATTCGGTACGATTGGACAAATCGAGAATGAGGAAATTTGGAAAATGGTTGAAGAATTGACTAAAGGAACATAAAGAAAAATGAATTTTGTGTGTGTGTTTTCATGTATACTTGATTTGAAAAAGGGTTAAAGAATTGACTACGTAGGAACATTTGCATTTCTTTTCGGTTTCTCAGTTTAAATTTAGTGTTTGTTTCAGTCAGAGTGTCAGTCTTCTGTCAGTTCAGTCAGTCGAAGGGAGAAAAATCCTATTGCTGAGAGTAAAATTTATTTTACCTTCAAATATGATAAACGTTTATAGCGAGAAAAACGACCGAGTATCTAGCATGGGAGTTTTCGTTTTGATTTTTTCTCCCATTTTATTCTAACAACAAAAACAATGGATATGCTTATGTAGCACTTGTAGCTGCAATTATTGTTGTTGTTGCTATTATATTCGCGGTCTTTTATAATTGTCGGTTTTTGGAGAGAAAGACATCTAATGAAGCATTAATAAACAAACGTGCACGCACGCCACACAATTAATTACTTTGTTTGGCCAAAACTACGAATTATTACAAAATCATTATATAAAAAAAAAAACGTTTCGCTAGCAACATTTGCGCAAGAAAATTATCGTATCGCAAACTCTATTATTTTTATCGCAAGCTTTATTAATTTTATCGCAAGCGCTATTATTTTTGTCGTAAGCTCTATTATTTTTGTCGTAAGCGCTAATATTTTTGTTTTCTATTTATTTATGTATATATATAAACAAACGCTAGAAAGAGCATAAGAGAGAGTATAGGAACTCAAAAGGAACTTTAAAACCTTAAGAACGACAGCAAGTGTACAGGCAACAAAATTAAAAAAGAAAAACAGAAGTATACGCAACAAAGTTGCTAAAGTTTATATAACAAGTATGGTTGGTCGTTTATATGGCAGAGTCTGCCATATCGCACATGAATGAAAGACAAAAGGAAAACAGCAAAAATTCAAGAAGCAAAGCATAAATAAAAAATAAATTGTAACTAAACGCGCACACAAGTTCGCAAAAAGAATGCTTAATAAAAACAAACGTATAAACGTTGATTTTGAAAACCCAATATACACAACAAGCTCGAAGCCTTTCAAACATGTTCGTTATGTTTGAAAGGCGAATGAGATTTAAGCCCGACCGTCCCGCTCGTTCCGTTCGCTCATTTTCAATTTTACGCTCACAATTCAATTTTATCATTCTCAGTTTTATTTTAGCCCCTGCATAAGAAATATACAGCAAAGTCAATTTTACACTGAGAAATTGAATTTTATTCTCAGTCAAAGAAAAATTTCGCTCTGAGAGGATTTTTTGGTTGTTTTATTTGTGTCTAAAAGAGAGAGAAACTTTTACAATATAAATCCAATATAAATCCAAACATTTCTATAATTTGTGTTTTTTTTTTGTGAATTTCAAGAAATCAAGAAGGGCGGAGATATCGTTTTTTTTAACTTAAAATTAAAGTTAATGTGTAAAACTTAACTAATTAAAGCGTGAAACCCCACGAAAAATTTACCAAAAAAAAAAAAAAAGAAAAAAATAGAGACACTAATTAATATAAAATAACGTTCATCATTGTTCATTAATTTTTCTTTTTAAAGTTATCGTGAGTGTAAAATAAATTTTAAAAAAATTTAAATATTTTGTAAACATTGTTGAAACAGTGCGCGTCAATAGCAAATAAGCAAACAAAATATAAGCGTATAAATTTTATTTAAAAAATGAGAGAATTGTATGTGTTGTGTAAATTTTTTATCGCATGAGTTTTAAATAAACAAAACAGAAGATAAAATAATATCCGACAAATTAAAATAAAAAACAATTAAAAGCCTTGGTTAATGAAAGACAAGAAAAAAGATATTTGATAAATCATTTACCGGCATTTTTTACAAAAAGAATTTAATTTAATTTAAGTGAAATAAACTTGCGGTCAATAAAGTGTTGCGAGCTAGTGTTAAGGCCAAATGAAGTAAAAAGCCAGAGCACATATTGATGTTTTTTTTTTTTTTTTTCTGTAATTCCAATATAAAAAAGATACTCTTTGTTTAACTTGTACCAACTTCAAGCGAACACCGGCACACAAACCCTTAGATAATCTCGGGAATTTGTTTGTTTTTGTGTGCACATTGCCGGCATTGCAGTTGCTGTCGACTCTGTAACAGAAAAAAAAAAAAAAAACAAAAAAAAGGAAAAAGAAGATTCGAGCGGCAGAACTATACTTTAATGTGTTAACTTATGTGGAAAATTGTGCAGAACAATTCAAATAAGTATTGCGGTGTTCTTGGAGTTTACGTTCAATTTGTTTTCATTTACAATTTCCATGTACTTGAGCTGCTAAAATTGTAACTGTAGAAGTTTTTGACCTTTCTGTGCTTTTTAGATTAATTTAATTAATTTATAGGTTATATTTACGTTCTGGGAGTTTTTCATATGAAACCAGGCGCCATCAGTAAACAATATTTCCGCTGATTTTTGTTTGCTTGTTTTTCGAATAGAAGGTAAGTGAATATTAATTTGTACTCATCAATTCAATTTTTTCCGGTATTTGCATGTAGAGGCTGCTGCGATTTAATAAAAATATTCCCATGAACGGAGTGAGTGTAAGCGACTAAGAAAGGAAATTATATTCCATTTTAAAACGAGTTTTTGACATCCACCATTTACCCTTTGGAAATTTTCTGTGCTTTCCTAATCGCATTATCTCTATAGCGTTGAGATAAAAATTTCTTTTAAACGGAAAGTTAAAACTTAAATTGCTCACGAAAGTTTTAGATGAAGCATAGATGAAATAAAAAAATCAAACATTAGTTAAAGGTAAGGACCGCTAAATAATTTAATTAGTAGAGTTGCAAAAGGTAGGAAGGAAATGGTTCATCGACGCTGGAAGTTTCGGTTCACAGTCCGGAACTGAGTCAGTCGATAATCCGAATGAAGCTGTTCGATTTTTTCGTTGCATCATTCATGTTATGTCCGGATTATGTATGGACCTCGCAGTTGCTCGGTATTCTAGTTTACTACCCGGAACTGAGTCAGTAGATTGCCAGAATAACACTGTTCCGTACATCATGCATGATATCTGGAATATTTAAAGGCCTGGCAGAAGTGTTATACCATAATCTAATTTTACTTTAATTGAAGAAGATGTATGATTTAACTAGAACGCATTAGAAGTTAGGGAAAATCGATAATATGAGCCAAAAATCGCTAAAGTGCTAGATTGGAACTACATATCCTTGTCAGGATAATAGCCCCTCTAGAATTTATTCAAAGACGTGTAACTGAAATCGAATAACGGGAGATCAGAGATAATACTTGAAACAGTTAGTGAATTTATGTAACCGTAGAAGCTTTGAAAAGGTATGAAATTATAGAAATTGCCACCTGTCAGCCACTTTTGCACATTCGTAATTTCACTTGCGAGAGTTGGAGGCCGTTCGCTTAGCAAGCAGTTCCCAGTCGCATGACAATGCCTTTGAGAATGTCTTACACTTAGTCAGTAGTTGCATAGTTGCCGTTGGGCAGTATTATAAGAATCCTGTAATGGATCTCCGAAACTGGAGATTTATAACTCCGGCCCAATCAGTCCTAGTCTTTGATTTTCTGAAATTTTGCTACTAAGTTCTTAGGCCCTCTTCCCTTAAATGAAAGAACCGAGTCTTTAAAAATGCAAAAACTACAAAAACAATCTCCGAGTGCTTTGCAGGTCTCACTTTTTGTCCGCAAACATATTTTATTGGAATTTTAATTAAGCGTAATATGGAAAAATGCAAGGCATGTAGGCCAACTGTAGTATGTATGTGTAATCCTTAATAGTGTTATATCCTTGTAATAACTGCCAACTTTTTGTGCCCTGTTTTATAAATAGTTATATGTGTACGTGTTATACTAAGAATTCACGTTTTGTGTCGCATTCCTAAGTCACAACAGCAAACAAAAGCAGTAAAAATTTTTTTTAACCTAATTTTCTTTTTTCTGGTAAATATCAATAATTACAACGTAATATACGTAATACACATCCGGTTTTATCCTTTTTCTTCAGGATATTCTCTCCAAACAGCTTTACAAGCATAATATCAAGAATTTTTCCTATGAAAGCGGAAGTTTTTTACGCGCTATTCGAAATATGCGATAGAAGGCTTTGTTAAAGTCCGTAGCGAGTGTCGCGAACATCTTTAACTGTGTATTCGTGTGCTTTTGCGCTTTACAAGCAATGTTATGCATTGTCTAGGCTGAAGTACATAAATGCTGTCGGTGTTCAAATCCTTTGGGAAATGTAAATTATTATTATTGTTGTTGTCGCTGTTGCCAATAGTGAATGCATTGCGAATGAAGCACGTGTCGAGAAATAATGAAATTTTCAGCAAACACTAATACCAATACCAACAACACAGTAAGGCAATTACTTCCTTTCAGTTAAATGAATTATCGCTTACGTTAGAACGCACTCGCAATTATTGATTTTCTGCTATTTATTATTAAAGTTGAGACTTTGTTCCGTATTATAGAATTTCGTCCGTCTAAGCTTAACAATAGCAACAAAAAACATTGGCGCCAATCGAATTTCATTGATAACGACGAAGACTCTGTCTAACTAACTCTGTCACTGTCACCGGCGAGAAATTCTCAAAACCATCCATTTTTCGTTTTATTTGTACACCTTGTACCTGATACGCTTCGATATATGTCTATATATATATATGTATGTATGTATGGATGTATTTAATTGTAATTTTATATGTGTGCAACCAATACCATTAATGGTTTTTCAAAGTTAAAGCGTGCACATGCCTTTCCTTTCGTCGCAAAGGTATAAACAACCGCATCGGTTATATAACACATTCTATTATACTCTACTGTCTGCGCTTAAGTATATATACATGTATATGTGTAAAGTTAATAAAAACTTACCCACACTCATGCTTAACTGTAAGTGTCCTTGTGCAAAGGAATATAAATAATTTGTCCCTGTAGCCGTGTATGTATGTGCCTTGACTTTTTCAAAGTTCAATATGAGTCATCCGGGCTTATGTGGCCAAAACGTCAACGCGCTTTAGCAATTCTTCTCTTTGCGATATTTTGTTGTTATTATTGTTTTCTTTTTCTTTTTTTTTTTTTTTGTTTTTATTTGTGATTTTTGTTTTTTTTTTTTTTTTGATTTCTTTTTGCATTTTCCTTTTATACGTTTTATTCGTTTTCTTTAATTTCATAATTTTTTCATATATTTTATGTTTGCTTTAGGTCGCATGGCCTCGCAATGTCATAGTCGGCTCCTGTTTGGTGCCTTTTATAATCATAATATTTTTATTTATTGCTTTTTTTTTTTGCATAATGTTTTGTGTGTTTGATTTGTTCATCATTATCAAGTTATGTTATCATCGTCTTAACGGTTATAATTTGAATTTTAAATGAATTTCGAGGCCACTGTGGCAACTAACTAAGTAACTGTGGTTTAACTAACTAAACTTTGTAATAAGCAGACTAAAGATTTGCTTGCAAACCACATGAGAATCGTAAAGAATTTTACTTTGTCCGGTTATAGACGATCTATTGAGTGTAAAATTATCTAAAAAACTCTAATTACGCCGTAGCCAAGTGAACTGACAACATACTGAATATTTTAAAATCAATTAATTCAATAAATAGCAAGAGCTTTAAGAAACAGTTTATCAGCAATGCAATGCGGAATGCCTTCCCCGGCGCTACATTTGTAAAGGCCACCTGCTGAATCGATTAAGCCGTTTATTTTGAAAGTGGTGTAAATCGTTTGTTTTATTTTTTTTTCTAACAGAAATAGTTAAGTGTTTGCGTATATTTAAAACGCTGCCTTTTCATGAAATTCTATCGAAAGGAATTTATGCCATTCGTAAAGTAAAAGGCTCGCTTCTTAAATTGATGTAAGAATTTGTCGGCCAATGTAATAATTTTTATGCTCTTTGCCGTTTACGCCTATTTGTGTAAGACGGTTCTCGTCATAAGGAAAAGAGGAAAGACAAAGAAATGGGGAAGTGCTGGCGGCCGCCTAGTGGCACTCTGACTGAGCACTCACTCTACCTATGACCAAAGGAAATCTTGCCGCAATTGAGACTTGAACCCGCGGACACTCTTTCGTAGTCGCTGTTCTCACCTGTTCGGCTGCATGCGGGAATTAAGTTTGTGTGGATATACGCAACATCTGGAAGGGCTTGATCTAGATCCACATTTTACACTGAGTTATGTTTTGCTTGTCTGTCCCTCTGACCGTTTGTCTGTCTTTTTTTTTTTGTGTTCAATCTTTTCAATATTTTGATGGAGTTTAGTAAACTGACATGTTTTGGTTCAAGGACGAACGCTATTGAAAATGGTTTGGATAGGAGCATCCTTTCAAACACTTCCCGCAAAATGCCTTACTTTAACAATTCGATATATTGACAACTGTAGGGTGCCGTTGCGGCCTTGCCTTGCTACAGCGTTTTTACTTATTTAAATGTGTGTTTCAATAATTATTAACGCCTTCAAACATAAAAAAGGCGTTTGTATTTGGCTTAGAGTAAACCCTAATATTCATAAAGAGTTTTCAATTAATTGGCGGGATTCCAACAAGAATCACTTTTGATATAAACTTTCAAAGAAATGTCTTAGTATCTCTTCAAAGTCCGAACCGTTGTCTGCTGTACGTTAGTTGTAGTAGTATTTGCGAACTATAACGCTTTGTAAGTCTTTCGAGGTATTAGCAATTGCAGGTCGATATCTACGATATCTCGATTTCTCATCTCGCGCCAGCCATGAACATATATATAATTTATGTTATTTCCAAAAAAATATTTCGACATCAACTTTGATCTAATTGATGTTATTGCAAAAGAGAGGAAGGTCTGTATGTCAAGAGCTCATTATTAGATCCCAATTCGAACATTTTCAATGGGAAAGGCACATATGAGCGTACGGATTAATTTGAAAAGATTTTTGAGCAAACGTGCGTCTTGTGAGACTATTCACGAACTCTTTCATTTTCGTGATAAGAGCGGAAGGCTAACAGAAAGGGAGGATAAAAAGTAATGATAATCAAAAGGCGAATTGTCGTAAACGATAAAGGCGGTGGAGAAATCCTGAAGAATCAGTTTGGGAACATGTTGAAGTCGAATTTTCTATAGCGGTCGTGTCACTTTATATGGACGTGATAGAGGCGCGGCATCATTTGGGCTGTACTACTTTGGGCTGCCATCGACAGTAAACCACGTCTTTCAGTATACAAACGCTAGCCACTTCGCAGCTTTCAAGTCTGCCTACCCAGATTCAATCCTAAGCTTTTTAGCTGTAGTCGGTAAATGCGTAACATTTACCAATCGCGTACAGACTACGATCGTTCTCTGTCTCTTTTTCTCCCCACCTCTTCCTGGCGACCACCTTGTTATACCTTTAGGTGGCATTCTCTAAACGATTGAACACAAAGAAAAATAAGATGTGCTCAAAGCGTTTCAACTCAAAAAGATGTAGGATTGCTTGGACGGAATTGCATACA